CCGAAACCTCCACCCGCGAAGCGAGGCGTCGACGCAAAAGCCACCAGCTAGCGACGCCCCGGACGACGACGGAACGCGCCTAGTCTTGATTCCGCAGCCGATGACGATGGCTTCAGAGCGGACGAAGCTCGCGGTGCTGAAGTGAAGGCAAGTAATTCGTCTGAGAAATAGCCAGTAACAGCCATGTTTTCACCGTCATTTTTCCCCTTTTATAACATCACAAACGCAGAATTTTATTCGTTATTGTCTGCTTCAGAAGACATATTACCTTTACACGTTTTTAATAACATTGCTGCTGAACCTTTTGCCGCATTTTGCCGGATCCATATAATAAGAATGATCCAGACGATTTCTTAATTAGCATGGAACATTACAAAAATCCAATTTGTAATTACATATTTCCAGATAACATAACAATTTTAAGAGTAGTATGTCAATATTAGGTTATAATATCAATAGTATACCCGAAAATCTTGAAGAATCCATTAATCTGAGCATTGTACCATTATCCATCTCTTTTGACTGCATCTGCATTAGTGAAACTAAACTCGGATGATATCGAGGACTTATATGATATCCCTAATTACTGTAAATATACGCTTAATGTATCACGGAGAATGGGTGGCGTGGCAATTTACGTAAAGAGTGCACATAATAGTTCAGTTCGCAAGGACCTAACAGTCAAGGAAAACTATATGGAAGCACTTTTCATTGAACTGAAGAATGAAAATGGTAATGACAACATTATTGGTGTGATATATGGATGTCCTAAAACTGACTTCAAATTATTTATTGGTAAACTTACATGTCTACTGAATAATATAAATAAAGAAAACAGAGAATTCATATAAGTGGTGACTTAAACATTAATTTAGTGAAACAGGCAGACCCTCAAGTCCTTGAACTGACTAATGTCTTAAATGAAAACTTTTTATTCCACTTAATTACTAAACTAACACGTGTTAACAAAGGCTCAGCTTCGCTTATTGACCATATTTGGTCAAATGATATTATAGATAATATGATTAATGGCATCGTATATTCACAGACATCCGACCACTTTCCCGTTTATGCTTTGTTCAAATAGCTGTCTTCTCTTGCATCTACAAGTAAAATAACACCTCAATATAGAGACCTATCAAATACTAAAATCAGCCAGTTTGCCAATTACCTTCAACGAGTTTCATGGGAACCCCTCTTTGCACTAAGTGACGTAAATCCAGCTATGGATAAGTTCGCAAGTATGCTTTCAACTAACTGAATTTTCCCCTTAAAATCCAAAGTAGTGAAAACAAAATCATTAGAAAAACCTTAGCCTATATAACCCATGAAATAAAAGCCATGATCTTGGAAAAGAACAAATGTCAACGTAAATTTGCCAAGCATCCTATCAGATTTGGAAAACAGTACAGAGCAATACGCAACCAGTTAACAACAGCAATACGCAATGCCAAATCATCTTATTACAGGAACAAACTAGAAAGAAATATTGGTAACGCTAGAAAATCATGGGAGGTGATAAATTCCATTCTTAATAAGGATAAACAAAAAGATTGTATTACTCATTTAAATGTTGATGGAAAAATAAATGATAACTCTCTTGACATTGCAACCAGTTTCAACACATTTCTCTTCAGTAGGAAAAAATCTGGCAGAAAATATTCCTGATATCTCTGACGTCCACAGTAGTTACTTGCCAAACCGTCAATTTGAAACGATCTCCCTGAATGAGACTACTACCTTTGAATTAACAATAATTGCGAATAACTTAAAGAATGGTGCAGCGGGTCCTGACGAAATTCCAACCATGTTAATAAAAAAGATAATGCATATAATAGCACCTATACTAGTCTATATTTTCAATCTTTCCCTTACCACAGGCATATTCCCTGGCATACTCAAGCTAGCAAAAGTTAACCCTATATATAAAAATGGCGATAAAGGATGCAGAAAAAAATACCGACTAATTTCACTATTGTCCATTTTCAGTAAAATTCTTGAAAAAGTGGTATTCCGCAGACTTGAGCATTGAACGAACCAGGATATAATAACAGATTCTCAATTTGGTTTCCGTAAGGGCAAGTCAACTGAAACTACGACACTGTCATTCACGGATTATATACATATAGAACATCTCTTTCACCTCAAGTTTATATACATCCGTAGGAGCGTACACAGCAATAAGAGACATGAAGCCAAATGACAGCTTCAGTCTCAATACCATTATACGCTCATCGACTGGAGTGACCTCTACTACCGAGGGTTGAAATCGGCTGGAGATGGCTATGGCTACTCCCTGGAGATGGTGGCCATCGCTGCGGCCCGACCAGTAGTAAGTGTAGCCACCCACACTAATCGTGCCGCTGCCAGGTCTTCTCACCTCCGAGAGAGCAACCACCTCAACTCTCAGCCGTTTCAATTCCCTCGACAGTAGTGGTAAACGTTACAAGCCCCCACCCTGATAACCCGCCTGAGGTCTACCCTCTGGCAATCACTCCGGGTGGGCGCCACCTCTGCCACCCCCACCGACGCCGCCCCATACAGAGGTTGGCTGGCTGCAGGTCCCCTAATCTACCTGCAGGGCTCCCGGGGGCTTTCCCCCATAAGCATCACGTATATTATTAACAGTCGTCGTGAAATTTACGGTGCCTAAAACTGATAAAATTGCGAGATGATGTGTAAAGATTCCTATTTTAATGAGGCTCCGGCAAGAGCAAGTCTAGCAGATAAAGGAGGGTATACAGCGTTGCCCCATTTGGAGACAATACTTGTAGCGTAATTAAAATGAAATAAAATAAAATTATAATCAATGCCTAGTTTACTTGCAGAGAAAATACAATTTGATTGAAAATTAATGCCTAAATTAATAAAAAAATCAGT